GTGAATTAGCTAGTTATTTTGATTCCATTGAACTTGGAAATCACTTTCCAATGACAAAAGTTACAGTAAATGTCTACGCAAAATTACTCGAGTAAATTATTTCAAACGAGAAAACAAAGTAGCTCTCGAAATTATAAATTGAGTAAATGTAGTTTCTTGTTTCGAATCTTATCTGGCTTTTATTAAATTGGTGATTTCTATTTAACTAGAGTGGCGTCAAATTTATTTAATATAATTTTATTAAATTTTAAATTAATAAATATTATTATAAATAAATAAATAAATTTTATTAAAATTACTTGCTAATAAGCATTAACAATATAAAGGTAGAGAACATTGTTTAACGCCGCTTATACCTATACATTTGTCATATGGAGGGACTATTTTTAATATCGTTAACAGGATATAAGATTCCGATCCGACTGGACTCAAATCAGCGACTGTTGTCTCAACGTAGCGTAACGAAGCCACGGGTGTAAGGATTTTTTATTTTTGTTTGTTCTATCTTTGTATCAATAATAATTACATACTAGAGTATTTTCAGAAAAACATAGATGTATATCGTGTTAAAACATGAGGGTATTCAATAAAAAAGACATACGATATTGAACTCCTGCAGGCTTAGCATGAGCTCGAAGACAAGAGTTATCTCTTCTTCGAACTGTCAATTTTCTCTAGATTTTTCGAGAAAAAATTGATAGTTCGAAGAAGAGATAACATTTGTCTTCGGGCTCATGGTAAGCCTGACTGGTCCTATAATTTAGCTGTGTCTCACTAATGTTAATTAAAAACAAAGTTTGCTGTTGCTGTGCCGCTTTGCAGTTAAAATAAGTACCTACTAGTGGGTAGTAACCCACGCTGGTACTGACAGGTAACCCCAAACATCATTAACAGGTGTACTATCAGTTATTAATAATTATGACTATATAATTATGTAGGTATTCTTCTTAGCGCATTAGTGAAGCAAATATTATGTAAGTATAGGACTAAATATCCGAATTAATAAACTCTATTCTATTTTTAAGTTTCTGACTTCTCTTGAAGAATTCTGCCAGTGTCTAGACAGTTGTGGGAGTTATACTTTTTTTGATTATGTTTAACTACTTAACACTATTTATAAATTCATGCTCAACTCCTTAACTTTATCTTTAGACACCTTTGACATAATGCAGCATATTTTTTTTGTGAATTGTTGACACTATTCCGAAGGTATTATTTGTGTACTTCCATCTTCGTTCGATCGCCTTGGACTTGGATGATATTTATAGAAGTGCCTACCGCACGTTATAAATGAAAAAAAAAACGGTTTGCCAGCTTTATTACGAGCTCCTACAAATTAATTGCGGTGCGCGGAACAACCTAGGCAGGCTTTCGTCGCGCCGCTATTTTTAACAAGTTTCTTTTTCTTTTGTAATTATTTTAAATTTATTTTAAAATAAAATTTAAATATGGCTAGGATGTGCCGTGCACCGCATTTCATTTATAGGGGCCATACCAATTTCTATAAATATTACCCAAGTCCAAGGCGACTGAACGAAGATGCAACAAATAAATGCATGTCCTGGCACGAGCCTCCTCTATAATTTGTGTAAATTCCAAATTAAAAACATTAAACAATTTAATTTCTTTTCAGTGCTTACTACTTTGTGCTGAACACACATTAAAAACGAGCTCCAGGCCACTTATATAAAATACGGTAATTGGTTGGAAAAACACAACTCTTCTCCGCTCCTCTTTGGGGAATAATGGGCCTGACAGATGTCAAATCCATTAGCAGCGGGAGTCATTATGGGGACGTAAAACAAACATTCAACAACATGTGCGAGAACTTGCGACCGATTCAGTATTCCGTTGATGCCGCTACGTGAAATAATTAGTCCCATCGCGCTCGTGCCGAGTGTACTGGGATACATGCGCTTGTAATGGAAAATTGGATTTTAACTTTTGCTACTGTTCACTGTGTTTTTGCAAAAATTGCACGACGTGTACAGTTGTGCACATAATTGTATTTGTCGTGTGCTTCTTAGGGCCCACGGTATAGTAAGCAGAGATATTCTTTCTAAATTTTAGATTAACGCTTTTCTTACAAATTCACAGGTGAAGCTTGAACGTTGTAACAAACGATATTCAAACTGAAACTTAAATAATCTTTATTTCACGGGTAAGCAAATTACTCTTGAAATCGTCATATTGGTTAAACTGTATTGCCCATTCGTAAAGATTCCCCTGAGACGAATGAACAAGAAACTCTGAGAGTAGCTCTTTGTAAATAAATATTTTATCATATACAAAGTTTGTTTCAAACATTAAGATCGAGACTACCTGCAAGAGCTAAACGGGACACTACCACGGATTTTTGTTATTTAAGTACGTAGAAGTTGTATAATAAATAACCTTTAACTATGGTTTTAAACCTTGTTAACAGTAGTACATTTTGAATATCAACTGGAACCTTATTATAGAAGCGTATACATTGCCCCCTCAATGAATTTGTGACATGTGAAGTCGAGTATGAAGAATAACTAGTATATTTTTATTTCTCGTATTTATGTTATGTCTGTCACTGTTTTTCATAAATCATTCACTGTTACTGTGCAAAAATAAAAAGTTTGTTACATCCTGTTTAGTGTATAATAATATATAAGTCCAAGTCAGCTTAAAATAAATTGAGCTAAGCGGCAGTCCGTCATATATCTCTGTGGCTATAATCTCGTCACGCGCCGCGGCCGCTAGAAGCCGTATAATTTCGCCGACATTAGCTTGGCGACTGCGCATATCACACGAGACACTTCAAGAATTCATACCTTGTCATATAAAGGATTTGTATGCTACGTATTACGGCGTATCGCGAAATATGAACGTTTACGTATGTACCTACACGATATCTCATGGATTCATACCTTGTCATAACTAACGCATTTGCATTTCGGTAACAAAGACAAAGATAAATTTATTTCATTATTACTTAAACAAATAAAACAAATGTGAAGGAAGCTCATAGACAGTGAAAAAAGGAACTTTAAATATTTAAGGTATATAAGGCAAGTAAGGTGTAACTGCCTCCGTGGCCGAACGGTTACCATGCCGGACTGCCACGCAGAGGTCCCAGGTTCGATTCCCGAGCCGGGAGAAATATTTGTATGGCCTATAGCGTTTATTTCTCTCGTGAGTTTGGGTGTAATTTGTGGTCGTTTATGTGTGTGTCCATGGCACCCGCGACACAGGGTTTCCCTAGTGCGGGGCTATGTTGAGTGTGTGTGCGTTATTATTGAGTGTGTGCGCGATATTATATGTATAACGTAGGTGTATGATGATACAGTCATTATAAAGTTATACAATTAAATCTTAGAATTCTAATAGTGTAGTTGCGATGGCTAAAGTAAGTAAATGAGTAAACTCTCGAGATATTGGCACCTAAAGGTTTTTGCTTAGCAATAAAAGTGAAACTAAATAAGGTATTAAAAAACCAATTGGAGGGGGTTGTAGATCTAGTTTCACTGATCTCAGATATAGTAATTACTCAATTTCGTTAAAAATGTCAATTACGTTAATTATGATACGGAGGGCAGACCTCGTATGGGTAAGGGCGCATTTATTCGACATGTATTTCATCGAGCTCACTCCGCGCGGTCCGAAAGCGGAGTCCACTGTGCAGCGTGCTTTTGTCGTGGCAATATACGCTCTATTTATTTATCATTTACGTTTTAACTTAAATGAGCGTCCCGGACACGCGGGCGAGTCTGGCTTGAATTTGGTCTACACGGCGGCACGAGCGGCGACAGCGCAGTCGCCAAGCGGAGTCCGCGGTGGCCCGTACGGCGACTCGCGCGGCGGCCGTGCGGTTGTATTATTCAGAGGAATTTAAATGTTGTTGCCTAGTAAATTCAGATTCGCCATTAATCTACCCTCGTAACGAAAAAGGCACAACTAGACTTTACACAGCAGTTGTGCCTTTTTACGTTCCGAGGGCAGTAATGTACCTACATGAAAGCATGGTAATCGGGCGGTCGCTTTCACCTTTCAACTTTCATCTCGTGTAACTGGGCGCTAAATGATTTAGGCCATACTCTATCGTATTTAGGCTTATCGTCAGGCTTAACAGTTTTTATTTTATGAACCTTAATTCTCCGCAAATGTCCTCGATGATGTTTTCTACGCAGTACACATTGACAAATACTTACAATAACGTGGAACCGTGCACGGAATCGGTTTGAGACATTCCTCAAGAAATCCAAGCGCTCTTTTATCTAGCATGCCGCTGTTGAATTTTAAAAGCTGACATGTTAGATTGTTAAGCTTTGCAATGTTGTCGATTTTCAATGAACTCATGATCTTATAGACTGGATAATCGTAATGGCAATAGGAAACACCAGTTACTTACCCTTTAATGGACAGTAAAAGCGTAAAATTAAATATTATAATATGATAGTACGGGGAACCTCGTTTCGTTATATGGATCTCAAAAAAAACAATTACGGGCTCTACGTGCTTTTTGTGTAGTTGCCGTGTACTGCTTTTAGAGAAGTATCAACAACGTACTGACAAAATTCAATTATTTACGCACATTGAACATTTTACATTGAGTCAATATTTGCCAACAACCTGACGCCCAGGTTGGCAAGGCCTTTAGAATACGTATAAATTGTATAACTGTGAAGAAATAAATAAATATACCTACGCGCTACAGCGAGAAAAGTATTGACATTTATGTGTGCGGTATTATTTAAATAAAAAGTATGAAAGGGTTAAGTTGCAAAGAACTGGTCAGTTAGAAAACAGCGAGAAAAAAGAAAAAAATATGTGTTAAAATTTTAATGACACTTATCAACAACCATTATCCAAGAAAAGCTACCATGACAAAGTTACACTAAAAAACGTCGCAACTACACAATCTATTCAGTGAAATTAAATAAGCCTCCAACAGTTTTCATAAAGGAATGTCCCATGTACCTTATGGAATCGTATATTTTTTCTTTAAACATGTTTAAGTTTAAATTAACCAAATATTCAAGTTCGCCGATTGAAACTTGCAATGGAAATACGGGCACGGTAGTATTAGACTGCTTCATTGTTTCGTTGTTTGGAACCCACGGAAGCCAAATATAATTATTCTTTGCTGGGTTGGCTCGCAAATCAAGCTGTGGTTTCACTTTGGGTTTCAATTCTGCCCACAAAGCCCTTAGTCGGAGTGACATTTTCTTAGTTATTTCAGGCATGGCATACCATAAATCGTTGATTTCTAGAGGATCGCGAGTAATTTTGAAGAGACAACCTTTCGCTGAAAATAGATTGTAAATTAGATTCTTTAATTTAATTTTGAGTTAGTGATTTCTTATTCTAATGTGATCAGAACCGACTTGAACAATTTTAATAGCTTTATTGTGTAATGCTTCATAGAACACAGGCTTTAGCGATTGATGCGAAATATTGAAACTAACAATTTGGTACCTGGGAGATCAGCCACAGCTGTATCAGGTGATATACATATATCATGATCTATAACAAGTCCACGCCAAAACTATACCAAGTACAAATTTTTTGTAAGGATTTGGTGAAATTACAGGCACTTGAGACTTGTCAATTTACATCTCAGGGTGACAGGCGCAGTGGCAGTGTCCCTCAATCCTTTGCGATTTAAAGCTCCGAGAGGCACTGCAACTGCTATGGACAGGCGTGTCGCTTAACACAAGGCGCACGACTTGTTCATCTTGTCTTATTAACAAAAAGGAACTATAAAACTTTGTATACATCAGCAACTAGCTAGTATTTAGCCTATACATGGTCCCACTGACGGGCACAAGCCTCCTCTCATAATGAGAGTGCTTGGAGTGTGGAATATGAACTTTACACACATGAAAACAATTTTCATCACGATGTTTTTTACTTCACCGAAAAGCTCATGGTAAATTTAAATTTCGCACATACATACATACCGAAACGTAGAGGTACAAGCCCGGATTCGAACCCACGGCCTTCTGCTTGAGAGGCGGTAGGTCAAACCATTAGGCCATCACAGCCTTACAACAACTATGTAGCTGTGTATCTTATAATGACTTACCTAAAGTGGGAATACAAAGTTCCAAAGTTTTCTCATTTGTTTTATAATTCAGCAAATTACTTTCATTTCGTTTCTTAATAGCTTCATCCACATTTAAAGTAATGTTAAGTGTTTCTCTCAAAACATAATAAGTTTCACATTCTAACAACATCTTTTCATATATAGGAGGCTCTCGTCTTAAAGCTTGGATATGTATTCCTAAATAATGGCTAATGCCTTTTTTTACGTCACCCACAATTATTTTGAAATCACCTTCTCTTAACGCAGCCCATCTGTTCTGATCGTCAATAGTAATTAAAACGTCGTTTCGCTTCGGATGTTGTTGTTTAATTGCTTCCCATTGGTTAATGCCATCAATTTTGTTTTCCACATTGCCACCCGTGGCAGCGATTATTGTCGGCAGCCAATCGGTCACGTGAAACAAGGCATGCCTAATTTCAGGCTGCAGAAAAGGATGCCAGAGGAAAGCTATGGAACGCGCGCCGCCTTCCCACGGCGTGTCTTTCATACCACGTAAAGGTAAATTACTGCCAAAATTTTGTGATATTCCTTCAGTTGGAGCACCATTATCAGATACAAAAACAATTACAGTGTTTTTCAGAATATTTTTTTCAGCTAAAGCTGCTACAATATGTCCCACACTTCGATCCAAACTGGTGACTAAACCTGAAAAATAAATAATTAGAAATAAAAACAGGATGCATTAATTTAAAGCATGATAGGGAAGTAAGCAAATATCGGACACATTTGTTTGAAAAAATTAAAAAATACTAATTAACACTTCAGAACTTTAAATTTAATCTTAAAGTACCTAATTCTTAAGTTCTATTAGAAATAATACGAATTCTTCATATTCAAATTAAATATTTTAAGCTACAGTAGGTTTTATAAAAAAAAAGGGAAAATCAATGAATTTCAAAAGAACTAGAACTAGCTATCCGGTTTTACGGTCCCAAAAATATTTTTTTGAATACGATATTAGGTGCCAATAATTTTAATAAATGAAACTAATCAAACTATTTATTAATTTGTAATTATTAGCAATAATCTGACTTTCAATCAATCTTTGATTGGGTAATTAGGAAGTCAAACATAAAAAAAACTATTTTCAATAAAATATTGAAAATAGTAAACTATTATATATATATATAGTTTATAGAACATAAAAAATATATTAATTGCATGTATGAAAAGCTTTAAAATTCTCATTCCAAATAGTATCCTAATATCAGATATCCAATGTTAGGCTCGCGTAGATTGTATTAAGATTTCAAAAAACAAAAAAAAACTCACCTCAACTTAGTAAACCTTATCGGTTTGAAAATATTTATACATTTATTTGTAATACTTTATAAAAAATAGCATTTGTAATGATAATTTGTACTTACGCCGACGAAAACAACACCTTTTCATAAAATAATATATTATTTTGTACCGGAAAATAATAACATAGTCTCACTGTTCTGCCATTTCCTAAACTAGTCAGCTGATTTTTTTACAGTGGCGCCACTTCATAGTTAAAAGTCAACTATGCGACATATGGCACTTTCCCCTATTGCTTACGATTCTTACGATTTGAATTGCGCTAATGGGATTTTTGTTATAATTAGAACTATAAACAAATACTATTAAATAAGTTGGTATTTAGTAAAGTTAGATATATTGTCAAGTAATATACTTGCAGAACACACTATAATTACGTATTATGTAACTAACTTGCCTGCGTATAATCTGCGAGCAGAATGTGCGATGTGATTGTTGGGTGCTATGGTATCCTCAGGCGGTTGGAGATTAACGAGCCCACCGCCTGTATGGGGAGCGGCGTGGGACATGTGTAGATATAGCGGTGATGACGTGTCGTGATTACGTATTACTGGAATGTAACATAAATAAAGGATAACGTTATTACAGGTCGCGGTCCGCTCTAGCCTCGGCCGTGACACGATCGACTCTGGAGCAATTCGCGAAAGTGAGTGCGTCTTTTAAAACACATGTGCATTAATTTACCGTACAAGGGTTTCTTCTACCTCACCCGATTGCATGATTAGCCCTGACCTCAATAGTTTTTATCTACATAATGTGCAGTAGAAATTGATCAATAAAGTATTTTTTTACGTAAGATTATTATTAAAATCTTACCTTGCTTAGCTCTCTCTGTAAGCAAATCAGTAAGATAGCCTTTAGCATTTAATACAGGACTCTCGTTATCAAAGAAATCCAAGCCGTAATATGAGACGTTACCCCATGTCTGCAACAATACAAAAAATAGCTTTGACTACAGAAAGACTGAAAATCTTTAGGTGCGAAAATGTACTTTGATTTTGAGCTCTGTAGTAAGCTGTATAATAAAAACAATAATAAGACTTTCAATAATAGCAAACCATCAAATGGTAATTGATGTATTAATCTAATCTAATTCCGATAGGTACATAATCCTGAATGATAGTGCTTTTTGTGAAGTAAAGACTTACTTCTATTTTATTATAAGTGAAGTAATCCACAGAAGAGCCGAGGAAGCCGTAAAAAGTATCAAATCCTCTGTTAGTAGGCAGATAATGTTTCCTGGATTTGCCGACGTCCCATTTACCTATTAAATGTGTCTTGTATCCCGATTTTTTTAAATAGGCTGGTAGGAGTTCTTCTGAAATTGGTATACCTCTATCTTCAGCTGCTTTTATTGAAGCACCTTGGGTACCTGAAAACGAATGAATTTATTAATTATACATCTACGTACGTAACATAAAGAAATTTAACATTTAACTCTGCATCTTCGCTTAAACCATTATCACGAAAGCGAGTGATCCATTACCGTAGTAAAGTAATTAGGGAATGCTGTAACAAGGTGACATGGAAAAAATATTGGCACATTAAATGGAAGATTCGAGGGGAAAACTCAAGCGAATGACTGGATCGACATAAGATTAATTATTAATGTACCCAGGCGTAGAGGATGTTTTCCTGTAAAGAGGGCGCTGCGAGAAGCTGTGCCGAGAATTTCTGTGTAGTAGTTATGCAGTATGATGCTCTGGTATGCAAGAGTGTCGATATTGGGCGTTACGATCTGATCAGAGCCATGGAAACTCACGTCGCCCCAACCCTGAAAAAAAATCAAGAAACGTTTGAAAACAATGTTACATCTTATTTTTGCTAAGTCGTACAGAACACATGTTTGTCAAACATTATATTAATATTATCTTTGTATTATTATCGCCTATTGAGTCATTGTTTCTCAAGAAACAGTTTTAATTTGTTTTATGATTGGATGGTGCGTATTAACTAAATAATTGCTTTACCAAATCATCCGCGACAATAAATACAATATTGGGGCGTTCAATAGGTTTAGTTCTATTTCTAGCATTTGTTTGTGTCAGAACCGGTTTTTTGTTATTGTCATCGTTGATATTTTGATTAATGTCTCTCTCAACGCCTTTAACTTGTTGGTTTGAAGTTTCAGAAATAAAGGACTTTTTATTTAATGAGCTTAAATTTGATGGTATGATGCTCGATGCTTGAAAACTCTGAAAGTCTTGTTTCTTTTCGCTATTAGGCGACTTCGTATTTGATGACTCAATATTTGATGCTTGTGTTTTTGATACTTCTAAATTCGACAATTCCTTATTAAATACAGCTTTTGGTAGTTCCTTTGGCGACTCTGTAATTGTCGTTTCAGTGTTCGTTACTTTTTGCAAGTCGTCTATCTTTTTTACATCTTGTTTTATAGTTGTTTGTTCAATATTTTGTGTTTCTGTGCTTGGCGCATTCGGCAAATTGTAATTTTTTTCGGTATTAGGTGACTCTTTATTCGGTTGTTCCGTAATTGGCGCTGCGGTGTTTCGTGGAACATCCTTTACGTCTTCAGAAGTTGGTAGGTCGATTTTTGGTTGCTCGGCGCTTTCTTCGTCTGATTTAACGCCACTCGTCAACATTGCCAGACAACTAAAAAGATTTTAGAAATTAGCTAATTCACTTTGTAGGTATATGGTGTGTTGAGCCATTACATATTTACGTCACTGAAAGGTATTCTTATTGCTAGCAACTCCATTACATCGGTTAGAATATTTAGTTATTTGAATTTTGTTTCAAACTAAATTTTCATAACTCACCACATCACCAGAAACAACATCTTTGAATGTGTGTCACTACTTAACTGCCTTCAGGACCGAGTTGGACCAAATGATGAAACATATTGTATATACAGTATGATTCAGATAAAGACTTTGAAAAGATAAAGATAAGCAGAGCGGATATTGCAATGTAACCCTTAATTTTCCAAACGTTCAGACGGCTTATGGGATCGATAACTAATTCATGCGGAAGCTAGCTTGGATTGTTCAAAAACTGAAATTTTGTGAGTATGTTTTAAATTTTGCTTGGAAGAAATTATAAAGCAATAAATAAATTTATTTTTATTGCGTTATTGAAACAAATTGGTGAAAATACATAATGGAAAGAAAACTAAATTTTTAATGAAATTGACAAAATCGTTAGACAAAGTGTAATGCATTTTTCCACTCCGCTTATTACTATATCCGCTTATTACAACGTAAACTTAGCCTTAACCAGACCACCTGAATATACAAGTGAAAATTGCCGATATCTTTAGAAGATAATACAATGTACCATGAATAGGATGATCAAAATTTCCCCACAGATGTGTAAAGACCTCACTTCTATGCAGGTACATGAATTTGATTATAATTATTGTATTTGTTGTTGCTGTGAATTCATTGTATTGAAAAATAATTTATTGTGAAACCATCGGATGTCTACATTACAGCTCCTTCAAAAATTAGAATGGGGGAATTTATCCCCCATTCTAATTTTTTTTGCAGGAGCTTAGCTTAGTTAGCATTAGCTTATCTAATGTATATTAATCTGTAGATAATATTATCTACTTTCATTCCTTACAATTGTAATAAGCTGTACAGTCATGAAATATTGTGCTATAACCTCAAGCCACGAAAAATGCTGTTTTGACGTACTATAGACAGTTTTCTAGTACCTATAGCTCTGTACCTCCTTATACTATTTATTTTTTCCATCCTCTAAGGTACGTACGCAGTTTAATCTTTTCCATCCTTAGTGGTATGATGCGTGGATGACAATAACAAAAAAAAAATATTGGGGCATAGATACAAACTCAAAAAGGAGTTTTACTTCGTTTACGATCCCTTAAGGTCTATCCACACATATTCGGGCCGTGGCCGGGACGTGGACGGGCCGTGCTCCGTCAGGGGCTCAAAAAAATATCGTTGTGTATATTTTGTATGAACTCGTTCACACAGGTCCGTGTCCGGACCGGGGCCGGGACGGGCCCGCAGTTCATACAAACTAGCACGCCCCGTCCACGTCCCGGACACGGCCCGGATATGTGTGGGTATTCCTTAAAACGTTGCTGTTGTTTTTTTTTTATTTTCCCGCTACGGGAAAGGCACAGGTTTAATACCATACAGCTAACTCTTAGATAGATAGGCCTACGAGCTACGCCAAGACTTCAGTCCTATTATACATATGTATTTTATAGGTATACTATACCCGGCAAATGCTTGAAGTGTTACTCCCGAGAAATGATAAAATTATTGTTGTGATTTTATAATTGGCTGGAACACGGAAACTTAAACCAATTTGCGAGACGGCGGCATACGGTAGACGCGACTGCAGCAAGAGGTGTTAAACTTTTAATTAGTTCACCAACTTTCGAAGAAGCATTAAGGTTTCCTAGGGGCAACATTTCGAATGCTTGTTTTTTGACCTTACTATTTAAACGTTTTCATTCATCGTTGTTTTAAATTAATGACTGTGCTTCTAAAAAACTTCCCAGCAAATAAACTAGCAGGAAAATGGATCCGGTTGAACGGGAAATTGAAATTCAACGTGTAAATATGAAGGAAAATTTTGAAAATATGTATTCCGACGCTTGGTGCTAGGTGCAGTTGGCACAATCTCTGGAATTTAAATTCAGTTAAGGCTGCACAATCTGTGATGCGAATTGTTCTCTCCAATATCATACGTTAGGTATTTGAAAAGAATGCTTGATGTTCAGACATTTTTGATATTATTATAATATTAGGAGGGTTTTCGAACATTTTAAATGGTTTCACATTTTGAATCATGAAGCATAATGCAATGTTACCAAATTTTTTATTTATCGTTTTTTAATATCAAGTGACGGGACGGACAAGTCGTGCGCCTGGTGTTAAGCGACACGCCTGTCCATAAAGGCTACAGTGTCACTCAGACTTAATTCGCTAAGATCTGAGGGGCACTACCACTGCGTCTGTCACCCTGAGACATAATATGACAGGTCCCATGTACCTGTAATTTCACCAGAATCCTTACCCTTCAACACTGAAATGCAGTAATGCATACATTACTGCTTGGCGGCAAAAATAGGTAACGTGGCAGTACTTCCTTGGACAAACTCTTTTACAAGGAGCCCTAGTCCTGTTAAAATAAAATAGGTAAGCTATTTTAGATAATAAAATGAAGATACCCAATTACTTAATTTAATATTGACCCAAAAGTTTTGAAGTCATCAGTCAGGAACATAGGCAATTATATAAACAAGGCCGCGGTACACGAAGCAGATGTGCCCATTTTACATGCAAATCGTTGTTTCATAGCAAAAACTCTGAAAATTGTTGTTTTTACAACTTTCTTTATTTAAACTCTGCCGCTCCTTTTCGGCATTACTTTTTAACAGCGATTTAAATAATACTGTGCGTTATATAAAACGCTGTACATAGCTAATATACTCGTACCCTGCTAATTTGAAAATAATAAAGACCAGGCCTTAAAACTTAATGACTAGGTAATTCATTTCACACGAGACTTATAATCATTACGTAAATTTATGATTTTACGGATCTTGAAAAACAACGTTGAAAAAGTATTTGTTAATAATGTATCATTATTTAATGAATTCATGAAATTACGACTTTAGTAGTCCTACTGAATTTTTTAAGTTGGTTGTGGTCTAGGTGTTCAGTTTAGTGGCTCAGAACGTTTTTTTTTACAAGTGAGGAGACATACAAGTCGTGCGCCTGGTAGTATACGACACGCCTGTCCATAACAGTTGCGTTGCCACTCAGAGCTTTAAATCGCAAAGATTTGAGGGGCAGAACATAAAGTAGAGACATAACTTGACAAGTCGGAACACAGTACCTAATACTGACTTTACTGCTTGGCGGTAGAAATAGATAAGGTGGCAGTACTTCCCTGGACGAACTTTTTCACAAGGAACTCTACTGCTACAAGTATTATAGTTATATCAATCTGCTGATGTATCGGTTGAATGATCTTTCAGTCATGCAATCTAAATAAAAGATAAACACGTGTGTTATATTTTCATCAACGATCATAATATTAAAATTTGTCTAGTGACAAAAATCACCCGTATAATCTTCATGGCGCCTCAATAGGCAGGTGGATATATTGGTTTATTGGCAGAGCAACTAATAAAACACAACTATCCTTGAGCCAATCCTAGTAGCCGGCATTTAGGCGAATTATAAATAACTGAGGTAACGTAATTTGTTTGTAACACGATCAGTAAAAGTGAATAGACTAGCTGGGTAGCTAAGACCTATCATCACTTGAATAATCATAGACCCGACCATTCTAAAAGTGTAGTCCTTTGCCTTACCCACTTGAGATCTATTGGGCATAAATAGAAAATAAGCCTATAGCTCATCTTAAACCAGTTTGACACTGGCCTTGCACCTCCAATTCCCCAGAGGAAACCTGAATTACACATTTTCAACCCAAATGAGAATAACTGGTACCACATCTTCAGATGAGATCTTCTTATACTGGTAGTTTACTGGTGCAGAACCGGCAATATCTCGCTACAGAGATTCATTAAAAGGACATTTTTGACAGCAATGTGTCATCTGTGAGATTCAGAAATCTTACCGTATAAAATGTATAAATATGTATTTTAGATAAGTACGTAATTAATTAAAATGCTATCTTACTATGTCAACCACTTACGCTATGCTGTTTCCAGTTACAACTTAAACTATTCGGAACCTTCTCACAAAAATCGTACCAAAGTAAAGTAACCAAGCGTTGCGTATGTAGGAGATGGACTATCAATCAGGTTCTCCTTGAATATATTTAATTACTAAACTTCACCTTGAAATTCATTAGCGCAATCACCTTTGATGTTTTCCTCTATTCTTATCTACTCAAATCGGTTTCCTGTAATAGCACAGTGGACGTTTGCTACTTTTTCATCTACTCCGCTTCCGAGCTGCAAAAGATTAGAATTTTGTTATGTTACGTACAGTACTATTTTCTAGAGTTCAGGCTTCGGAGGTATTCGCGTTTTACGGAAATTGCCGATTGCTTTGTTAAACTATTTTCTTCTAACGTATTTTTTTACAGTTGAGCCTGAACTTGGCAATGGTTTTTTTCGAATCATGTATGTAGGGTGTTTTATTTTTCCAAAGTTGTGATTTTCATATGAATTTGCTTACGCCCCGAGTCTCAGTGTTATGTAAAATATATATGCAGAATTTTAAGACGATTGGATCATATTAAGGGGTTGCACACTTTGATCACTTTTATTTCATACTAGTGAAATTTCGAATATTGAAGTGCTTTACACTACTGAGCTTTTCATGTATTTCTTTAATTTTTTGTAGTTAATTGTGGTTAATAAAGTAGGAACCATAGTAAGAATTTGGCCACAAGAAAAGGCACCTTGTAGTAAGCTTTTAGGATCTCGGATTCCTCAAAGGAACGGGATTGGACAACATCCGACAACATCACATGCGTCGCTATGATCCCAAAGTAGGTAACTAAAGCACTTATGTTATGGAAATTGGAAACTATGACGCTGCCACAAACGCCCAGATCCGGGGCAATATAGAAAACTTAGTTTTTCTCATTGATATGGCCGTGGATCATACCCGGTACCTCC